CCCCCCCCAGTCTAAAGTCCCCTGCTGCTCCATCTATCCACACTATGGTCTCTGCCTCCATCTCTGGTGTCACTGCTTCTCTGGTCCCATACTCCGCTCTTCTCCCTTGATGGTTCTAGGGACCTCCACTCCTAGACTACAAAGTCAATCACTCTCCTACTTTTGCTACAAAATGTCTGCCTTTACATTTAGAACCCTCACAGTAAATCCTGATAACAATTATTCACTACTGTATCACAAGAGACCTATCCCCACCTCCTTTCATCAGCCCAGCCCAAATAGATTTGGTACAACTCAGTGGAGATTCTACCTTCCTCCGTGCCCTCTGGATCTAGGCTCCCTCTTGAAAGATTGTAAGCCAGTCACAGTCTTCCCCTGCCCCCCACCCTCCAATTTTGGGCAGCCTATGTCCAAGTTGCCCATCTCTGTCTATTCTGTGTATGGAGGGGGTGAGAATGATCCTCGCTGTAAAGCTTTTTTCCCTCTTTTGAGATACTGTATCCATAGGTGTAGGTTAAGTTCGTCAAATTGTATCAGATTACTCTTTTTTCTCCTCTTCTTTCTTCTAGTTGAGTTCTGATCATCCAGTCATTGAAGCCAGGACAAGTGGGTATTATCTGCAAGCGTGGGTGTTCTTATGCATATGCCCTCTCTTCTTATCAGCTGGATGCTTCACTCTGCACTCTAGCCCTCTCTGGCTATGACACTGACTCTGGGCCCAAGAGTCCCTAGGTCTTGCCACACTGCTGGTCAACCAGGTCTCCACCCAGGTTCACAGGAGTCTATTGAATGTTGTAGGGCAATGTGCTGCTTGCTTAAAAAATTAAAAATTAAAATAAAAAAAGGAAAATCCAACAAAACAAATAATAACAAAATACCAAGGGAATAGTGTCTTTTCAAGGGAATGTGCTTCTGGTGGTGCAGTGGTTAAGTACTCGGCTGAAAGGACTGTGGTTCAAACCCACCAGCTGCTGGTGGCAGTTGGATAAAAAGATGTGGACATCTGCTTCTTTAAAGACTCTAGCCTTGGAAACCCTATGGGCCAGTTCTAGGTAGCTATGTATGGGAATTGACCCACGGGCTTTTGGTGCTCCGTTGGGCGTTTAATTTTGCTCTATAGTCTTAACTTTTCCTCCTGTTTCCCATCCTCCCATACAATTTTTCTCTGTTCTCTTTTCCGCTTTCTCTTAAGTATGTGGTTGTAGATGGTGGTGGTGGGTTTGTCCTAGGTTTCAGTTAACAGAAAATGACTACAGAAGACAACAATCCCTTGCAGCATATAAATGTATTCTTTCCTTTCCCTCAGTTCCTTCCCTCCTTTATGGCAGAGCTGGTAGGGTCTTCAATGTATAAAATGTTAAAAAATGAATGGATAATAAATAAACGTATGCAATACACAGTTCAAATTTTCCATAAGGGCGGTAGACACGGAGTGGTTTCTTACTCTGTATGGTGGTTCCCGCTCACAGACACCCAGCATAGGGTTTTCTAGGAGCAGCTGGTGAGTTTGAACTGTACAGTTCATGAGGAAAAGGAAAATGACTGTTACAGTACCCCTCAGGTCTTGGCACATAATGGTGGTGGTGGTTATGTGCCATGGAGTCGGTTCTGACTCATAGTGACCCTGTACAGGGTTTCCGAAGCTATAAATCTTTACAGAAGCAGAAAGCCTCACCTTTCTCCCGCAGAACAGCTGGTAGTTTCAAACTGCTGACCTTGAGGTTCGCAGCCCGATTCGTAACCACTACGCTACCAGAGGTCTTGGCACATAGTAGGTGCTCAATTATATTTGATGAATATTACTTTGAGGAACATTTATTTGATGAAAAAATGAATGATGAATTAATCATCAGGAAAATAAGTGATAAGACAAAACGTGCATCGGCATCTTAGTCTTGCAATCTCATGGTGATCTGCATCCACGGTCTGCTGATACGACTGGACCTTTGAGGGGGGGCAAGACGGTACTATTATTCATTGCAGGAGAGAATAAAATCCAAAGCTTAATTGATACAGATATTGTTGTTAAGTTTGTTCCGACTCATAGCGCCCCTGTATAGGGTTTTCAAGGAGCAGCTGGTGGGTTTGAACTGCCAACCTTTTGGCTCGCAGTCCACTGCAGATCCTACAGCATCATACCAGGAGTCCAGATACAGAATTCTGAGCTAGTGGTGGGTGGAACCTGAGGAACTGCGCGTGCAAACACTCGAGCTGCGAATCAGGTGACTGCTTTTCCTTGGCAACGGCTTGTTCCTAGCAACGAGGAGGTGGTCGGGTGTGGTTTTGGGGGGAAGCAGCCTGCCTGAAAGTCTGGAGGCTGCACCATGAATCCTCCAGGAGCTCTAGGAGTCTTAGAGGAGAAAGAGGACGAACACTTATCAACACCGAGTCTCGGACCCTCGATACATTCAGATGACCCTCAGGAGCGGATCCAGGCCAGGCGCCTTCGCATTGCTGCACGCCTGGAAGCCCGGAGAAGGTGAGCGGCTCTGCCGCAGAGGTTGGGATGCCAGCAGGCTGGCGGAGAACTGTTGGTTAAAGGGGATAGGAGCCCCGGTGGTGAGGAATCCGTGCGCCTTCTGTGTTAGTGGGGCTTTCTCTCTTAATTCTGGTAAAATATATGTGATATCAAAATGACCACTTTAACCATTCGTAAGTGTACAATTTAGTGACATTAATCATTTGAAAGAGTTTCAAAATGTTAGTGGAAAAATGGAATTGAAAGATAATGGAATTTTCCCCTCATAGTCACAATGTTGTGCAACCATCACCACTATTTATTTCCAAAACTTTTTGTTTTTTAATCACCCCTGAAACTACACTCATTGATCAATAACTCCACATTCTCCCCTCCCCTAGCCCCTGCTCGTCTCTACTCCTAGCTTTATGAATTTGACTATTCTAGATATTACATATTAAGTGGAATCATACACTTTTTGTCATTTTGTGTCTGACTTATTTTGCTTAAATGTTTTCATGGTTCATCCATGTGGTAGTATGCATCAGAACTTTGTTTCTCTTTATGGCTGAATAATAAATAATAACAATTATATCCCTTTACCACATTTTGTTTATCCATTCATCTGCTGATGAACATTTGGATTGGGAGAAGCTGTTGCTTTATGGTAAAATGCATTGTCAGAAGATTAAATCAAGATATTAGGTATTAAAAACACTCAACACACTGTAATAAAGATGGAAATAATAGTCCATTCAACTCTTTCATTGTGAACCTACTTTTCCAGGTACTGTGGGCAATAAAAAAAGGATTCAGGTGATTCATGAACTGCTCTGAAGGAGCCTGCAGGGTCTTTTCCCCTTTCCTTTTTCTCTTGTTTCTTTTCCTTTCATCTGCATTTATGCTGATTGCGTTAGTGTCTAGTCTGTGCTAGTCACTATATTAAACACTGTGTTGGGGTTATACAAAGTGAAGTCAGAGTCCCTGTGTTCATCATCTGTTGGGGAGGCAGAATAGACCAGCAAAGAGAACAAGCAACACTGGACTGCTAACTACAAAGTTGGCAGTTCAAACCCATCAGCTTCTCTGAGGGAGGAAAATGAGGCTATCTGCTACCGTATAAAGATTTACAGTCTTGAAAACCTTATACAGAGACAGTACTAGTCATAATCAATTTGAATCAGTGGGTTTTTGGTGTTGTTTTGGTTTAATAATAGAGGTAAGAATTCTGGTAGCATAGTGTCTATGAGTCAGGCTGCTAACCTTGAGGTCAGCAGTTTGAAACTACCAGTCATTCCATAGGAGAAAGATGAGGCTTTCTGCTACCGTAAAAGATTTACAGCCTTGGAAACCCTATACAGGGTCTCTATGAGTCAGAACTGATTCCACGGCACGTAACCACCACCACCACCATCACCAAGGACCCAAGTGGTGCATTGGTCAAACTGAAAGGTCGGCAGTTTGACTCCACGGGAGAAAGATGTGGCAGTCTGCTTCCATAAAGATTACAGGCTTGGAAGGAAGCCCTGTGAGGCAGTTCTGCTTTACCATTTAGGGTTCACTGTAAGTTGGAATCAGTTTGATGGCAGTGAGTCTTTATAATAGAAGTAAGGAAACCTGGTGGTGCAATGGTTAAGCATCCAGCTGTTAACCTAAAGATTGGCAGTGCTTAGACCTCATCTAGCAGGTCTTTGAGTTCAAGACCTGCCAATCTGCTTCTGTAAAGATTGATGTTTTTGTTAAGTGCCATCCAGTTGGTTGTAGTTCATAGCAACCCTGAATAGGGTTTCCGAGAAGTGACTGGTGGGTTTCAACTGCTGACCTTGCAGTTCAAACAGACCTTGAGGTAAAGTGCTTATTCTATGGTGCCACACCAGGACTTTTCTATAAAGAGCCAAGAAAATCCTATGGGACCATTCTTTTATGTCACATGGGGTTACTATGAATTGAAATGGACTCTATATGACACCCAAAAAAACCACAACATACTAGAGGTACAGAGTCTCTAGGTGGTACAAACCATTAATCCACTTGGCTACCAACTCAAAGGTTGGCAGTTTGAGTCCACCCAAAGACACCTTGAGAGAAAGACCTGGGCAATCAGCCATTGAAAATCCTATGAAGAAGAGTTTTTTTGTCACACGAGTCAGAATTAACTCCACAGCAACTGGTATAGAAAAAAAGGTATAGAAATAGCGATACAGGAGCACAGATCACCCATTGTCATCGAGTAGATTCCACTTGGTGGTAATGTCATGTGGATGAAAAATCCAAAACCAAACCCACTGCCATTGAGTTGATTTGGACTCATCGTGACCCTATAGGATACAGTAGAATTGTCCCAGAGGGTTTCCAAGGCTGTAATTGTTATGGAGCAAGTGTGCTACAGCTTTCTCCACAGACTAGTGTGTTTGAACTGCCACCCTTTCGGTGAGCACTGAATGGTGCATCACCAGGACTCTTTCTCATGTGGATTGTTGGTGGTGGTGCAGTGGAGTGGTTCCTACTCATAGTGACCCTGTTTTTGGTTTCTGAGAACAGCTAATGGGTTTGAACTACTGACCTTTCTGTTACCAGTCCAGTGCTTATTCTACAGCACCTCACCAGGGCCCATTGGAGGGAGGCATCTAAACCCAGTGGTAGAATCCTGGTGTGGCACTGTCGAATAGACACTGGACTACTGACTGAAAGGTCGGTAATTCAAACTATAAGCTGCTCCTCGTAACCCTATACAGGGTTGCTATGAGTCAGAACCAACTTGACAGCACCTAACAATAACAAGATACCCAGTGGTGGGATCATCATTCAGCAAATGTTTATTGTAGGCCTATTATGTGCTACCACCACTTGTCTGTCAGTTTGTCCTGCTGTGATGGCTTTTAGGTTGGATTACTAGAAGCCCTGCCTCAGGTATTTAAAATGCCAGCAGGGTGACCCACGATGGGCAAGTTTTAGCACAGTTTCCACACTAAGACATACTAAGAAGAAAGACCTGGGAAGCTACTTCCAAATATTGTCCAGTAAAAACCATATGGATTACAAAAAACTGTCTGACTCGCTTGCTTTGAATATGTCATCAAAAAAGCTCAATCTTTGGAGGTTGTTGTTGTTATGTGCGTGAATTTGTAACCACTATTCTAAGCTCCTTGATCTTTGGAGGAGAACAATGTATTTAGTGAAGTAGAGGACTAGCGAGGGTAAGGAAGATGGCTTTTATTCTTTTTTTCTTCAAATTTTTTATTGTGAATTGAGTGAAGTTTTACAGAGCAGATCATGAGTTTTCCATTCAACAAACCATACACTTTGTTTCATCTCAATGGTTGCAATCCTGTCCAGGTAACAGCAGGTATTCCTCTTCCTCCCTGTGGTTCTTATTTGGGAGGGAGACTCTTGGTGAAATGGGTTGGCACAGTAACCACAGAGACAGACTCAAACATGCAGCAGTTTGAGGATGACTTGGGACGGATCTGTTTCCCTTTTTTGTATGTAGATTGCCATGAGTTGGCGTTGACTGGATGGCAGCTAGCTATTGTGAGCTAGAGATACAGCAGTAAACACTCATGAAGCTTACTTTGTAGTGTGCTGGGGCAGGGGAGATAGAGACAAATAAATATACAAACATAGTGTGTTGGACAGAGTTAGAAACTCAAATTAAAGATGTAAGCAAGGCAAGACTGTGATGGTTGGAGAGGAGTTCCTGTTTTCTGTGATGGTCCAGGAAGGCCTCACTGAGGTAACATTTAAGCAAAGACCTTAAGCGAAGAAGCAAACCATGTGAATAGCTAGAACAAGCGTGTTCAGGAAGAGAGAATAGTGGGCCTATAGGTCCTGAATGGGGTGTATGTGAAAATCAGCAAGGAGGTAAGTGTAGCTAAAGCAAAGATGGAGGGAAAGGCATTTGCAAATAAGGTCAGGCGGATAACCTGGGGCCAAGTGTGGGATCAGTGCTGTCAGCTTATATAGGATTTGTTGGCCATTGTAATGCTTGGACTTTTACTGAGTGAGCTAGTAAGCCTGCAGAGGACTTGAGAAGATACAGGATGAGATTTACCTTTTAAAAGGACCACTGTGGTGGTCATTACCAAAGCTTTTAGAATGAAGTTTCCGATTTGCTATGGACACATGACCATGACCATTAAAAAAAAGACAACTTTGTGACCTTGCCTGGCATGCAGCTGACTGGGGACATTTTATGCCCTTTACTTGCTTTATTCCCACTGCTTAGATCAGCAGCACCAATGGAAATCTAATTTAGGCCACACATTATTTTCTATAAATATTATTGTTTATGCTCACTAAAATGAAGTGTGTCTTATTTTTTGCTAAGAAAACAAAATGTGACATTTACAGAACATAAAATTAATCATTTAAAAATGAAAATAAATAAGTAAAAGGCTCTCTGTGGCTACTGTGTGGAGAATGGGCTGGTGTAGGCATGGGGAAGAGGTGAGAAGAGAAGCAGGTGAAAGAACTTCCCCGGTCAACCATGCGACAGATGTTAGTAGCACTGGAGGAAACAAGAAGTGTTAAGATAGTGTGTGTATTTTCCATTAAGAGCCAAACTAGATTCACCACTTCATTAGATGTGGAATAGAATGAGGAATTGAGAGAGAGGCTACTTAAGCAACTGAGAGATGGGAGTTGCCATAACTGAGAGAATTTCCACAGAAACAGGTTTGGGAAGGTAGAGGAAAAATCAGGAGTTTATTTTGGACATTGTACTGAGTTAAGATGTTCCGTTTCCACCCCCCCACCCCACCCCAAATTTATGTCCACCTGTGAATGTGACCTTATTTGAAAATAGAGTCTTTGCAGTTACAATCAAGTTAAAATTTAGTTGTGAAGTGCTTTTGAGTCAGTTCTGACTCATATCAATCCTGTATAGGGTTTCTGAGGAGTGGCTGGTGAGTCTGAACCGCCGACTTTGTGATTCAAACAGACCTTGTGGTCCAGCACATTATCCCACAGCACCACAGGGCAAGCTCTAAATCAAATATGTCTTAATTTGAATATGAAGAGGC